AATACACTATCATTTCCACTATCATTTTAATTAAATTAAAAATATGTAGCTTTTTTTTTATGTAATCTCTGAAGCATAACAACTTTATTTGCGAATTTTAAAAAATTCCAACATTTCATAATTTTCGTGTATCACATGATTTTAATAATAAATTACGGCAATAATATAGAATTGTTTCTGTCAGTGTAAATATAGTACCTGCCGGATAAGCAAAGTTATTCATAGTTGAACGATCTTACTGCAAATACCTTTTCTTTACTTATTTTGAGTGTTTTGTAAAAATAAAGAATAAAAGGCAAGAAAAAAACTAAAATCTTAATTTTCTAAATTAAATGCATGTCCTGTGATCAGTACCATTCTTTCACTGATGAATCAATATACCCATTATTAAAGTATTAGAAAACTGTTTAATATCGTTACATAATGCTATTTAATTATGAAGCATTCCTCAAATGTATGCTGACCATTAATTTTATTATCCCGATTTTCACTACAATCAATAATATTCTGATAATAAGAAAATGCATTACATTTATCTATTTCAATTGCAATTCCATATTAATAACAACCCCTAACATTATATATTCCATTGATCCCATTTCTGCAGATTTTCAGTAATAAATGAATGAGCATTTTAGAATGACTTAACAAGACATAATATGTTCCTTAAAGAACAGTGTTTACTAGGAATTAACATAGGAAAATCAAAAATTTCGTCAAAAGTCTGACCAACAATTGAAGGGTGTTTGATTTTGAAGATGTCATCTTGATATTCTTGAACGATTCTTGATTTATATTTTAACCACTCTTCTTTTAGATCATCAGGGATATTTTTGGTATATTCATTGTAAATATTTTCAACTTCTAGTTTAAAGAAAAAAACCATGTGGGATAACGAAGGGTGGCTTCGTAATTTAGGATTCGTATAACCACCTTGTAATTGCTCAAAGTCTACTGAATGAATGGTTGGGAATAATTCGGATGGATAATTGGTTTTTTCAAGATCTAATCGGCTAAATTAATAATTAAAATTAGTCACATGAAATAGCAATCAATAATTGTGGCGGATCATAATGAAATCCAGATCAAAATGAAATTATAATATAAAATCTCGAAAAATAAAATTTTTGGAGGTGTATTTTTTAGGGATAGGGGTTAGGGTTAGGGTTAGTTTTAAAGTAAAGTTATAATAAACAAGTATAAGTGGGTTTTAGAAGGTTAACAGGTTGAGTAGAAAATGTAGATTTCATTTTAAATTATGATCCGCGACAATAATTGTTTTTTTTTAATATTTACCTTATTAAGGCTTGAGTGATACATTGTCTGCAAATCTTGATTTTCAGTTCCAGAATTATTACCGGATCTTTTAGTAAATCCTTGCAAAATTGACATCTTTTAATAATAAATTTTATAAAGCAAAAATATCGCTCCGATAGATCGACGGGACAATTGAAATTTTGAATTTGATTATGTTCTGATAGATGCATAGGACATTTAAAGGTTGATTCTGAATAAAGTTGACGTGAAACTCGCCAGATTCCTTGTGCAATGGGGCTGTCCGATTTAAGCATGATGTACAAATATTTGTCTACATGCATTAAAGAAAAAAGATCTTCCGGTGATAAATATGATGCAATTTCTATTAAGATATCTGAAATCTTAATTGTGATACACCAGGTCTTCTTTGTTTGGGCACCGACTTATATGCAAATTTGATTTGAAAAAAAATTAATATCATATGTACATCGTAGCAAAATATAAATTGAATTTTTTACCTAGTTGATTTGCGCAGCAATTATATATGTTTTGGAATGACTTATCCGTTTTAATTTGCATGTATTGAAGTAATTCTTTTTTTATCTCTAAATCCTCTTGTGGTGAAGAACTTGAATCTAGTTTGATTTTTAAAAAAATTATTATTACGTATATAATATTGTAGAAGATAAATTATAAATTATCTCACCTAGCTTATTTACATGACAATTTATTTCGTTCTGTATATCTTGAATTACTTTTTCTATCATCGGATCTTTATATTTTATCATGATTTCTTTAGTAATTTCTAAAACTTTGGCTAAAACTTTATTTTTATTTTCAAGTATATTTCTTAAAACTTCGATTTCACTTTTTAGAGCATCTAACAGATCCAAATCTTTTTGTTTGAGTTTAGACTCTTTTTGTTGTTTTTTAATTTGTCTTTGTAGATACGTTATCTGTTCACTTAAATATTCATTTAAGACCCTTTCAGAATTAAGTTCATCTTTGCGAAGAAATTTTTTAAATTTTCGTTCACGTGGCATAACTGATCTTAAGTCAATCTAGCTATCGCAATTATTGCAAATATTTTATATATGCGAAAAAAAGCATCTGATTGGCTAATATATTGTTACATATTACATATATCATACGTAATTAATTTAAACATATAATTTAAACATATATGGATATATAACATGACACTCTCGATATACTAACACTATGTCGATATAACGAGAGTTGACCGTATCGATATCAGAAAACATTTGTTATCGTTATTAAATAAATAAGATAACGATTTCTTGAGTAATGTTGAGAATTCACAAACTACCGTCTGTGATATATACACATGCATATAAAATTTCTTACAATGATAATAGGCTTAACTTTTAAAAACCTGTTATTAAACTTTTTGTGTATATCATCAACTTTAATTGCGATCTTTAACAAACCGATCTCTCAACTTGAACTGTCAATTTAAACAATAGCATTTTGATCTTTAATTTCTAGATCAACCGATTGCACTTAAAAAATCTCAGCATATTAGCCATCATTTATATAAGTCATACGTTTTGCAAAAAAAAACCTAAACTAAATAAGTTTAATTAAATTCAAATTTATTATATTATAATAAAAACTCTAGGTGGTAATAATATACATACTAGATAACTATACTATCGTTATATATATATTTATAAAGAGTATTTTATATTTTGATATCTTTTTTTATATTTTCACACTCTAATTCTAAATGAACTACTAAATTACTAAATTATTATATATACATAATATAATTTTAGAGTTAGTGTATAGAAATATCAAATCTCTTTATAAACTACACTTTTTATATTTCATTCTTGTTATAGTGAAGTCATTTGACTAAAAAAACTTTCACCATAACTTAA